GAGGAGGAGGAGGAGGAGGAGGAGGAGGAGAAGAAGAAGAAGAAGAAGAACTGTTTTACTCTCTAAAAAAAGTTAAAAAAAAAAAAAACCAGTTCCCTATTTAGGATTTTCCCACAATCTACACTATTATTACTTTAAACAAAACTACCATAGTACATAAATTCAAAGTTTAAAATTTTCTGTATTTTCAGCAGGATGGAAGCACATATGAACAAGGTATTTTTTTTTATTCTTTATTTTATTTTTTATTTTTTTTTGCGGAACCAGGGATTGAACTCAGACCCTTGACTTGCCAGGGAAGCGCTTATTCTACTGAGCCATCTCCCCAGCCCCTATTTTTTTTAATTCTGAAAAATATTTTAAAACTACCCAACAATCCTCAGTATTAATGGATGGAATAATGGCAATGTCTAAATTCTATAATTTTATAAAGCCTCCTTTTTTTGTTTTTCTTTGGTCTTTTTGACACAAGGTCTTGCTATGTAGTTCAGGCTGGCCTTGAGCACATTTTGTAGCCCAGGCTGGTCTCGAACTCACAACAATCTCCTCCCTCAGCCTCCTGAGTGCTGGGATTATAGGCATGTGCCACAACACCCAGAGAAATTTCCTTTTAAAAAGTTAACCTTTTGGGGCCAAGGAGATAGCTCAGTGGAGTGTTTGCCTGGCAAGCTCAAGGTCCTGAGTTCGATCCCTAGTATCACACAAAAAAATAATAACTTTTTATTGAATTAAACAAGAAAACATATACTGAAGCCCCCCCAAAAGAAAACAAAATCAACGGGCTCAGGACGCCGCCCATCGACTCTAAACCATGCGTGTGCCCACCCGAGAACAAGGACTTCTCCTTGCGCAGGCCCTCACAGCAGGGGTACACAGAAGCAGGCAGCCCAGAACACTGGCGGGAGGGAAGGGCAAGTCTCCCAGCAGCGCCGCACTTCCAGGAGTGTTATCACCATCACAGGCAATCGTACCAGAAACAGCGCTTCTACTCACCGCGGAGCTGAGGCGTCACTAATTTCCTCCATTTTCAATACTTTTGCTCTTGGGCTATCACTGGAGGGCGAGGGGCCGCCCTGGCTGGAATCCTTATTCGCCGCGTCTGCTAGGCTAACCGCGGGGCTCCCCGGAGCAGCTGCAGTAGTGCTGTCTGGCACGTCAACTGTCTGAATCAGATTACCAGTCTCTTCAATAATAACCTTCTTGAGTGGTTTCTAAAACAATTAAAATCAATTCTTCAAATTAACAGGTTGAAGGTTTCCCATTTTAGGATCACAAGTCAAAAGGACGCCGTGTTCTTACAGCTAATATCCCAGGCATCAGTAAATTCAATTTCAGCAGCTAGACAGAATTAGGAATTATCCTGACAACACAAACTAAAAGCAATGTACCTATTCCAGGCAGGTCTACGCAGGGAAGAGGGACAGTACGCAAGTGACTATGAGGCAGTGGGTGAACAGGAAACGTGAAAGCCCAAAGTCCCTAGAGAACTCGGGGGCAGACGCACCCTGCACCGGGAAGCATCCACAGGACAGGCACGGGAGACTGGCAAGCTGGGGAGGACCAGGGATGGGGACTGATACAGAGGGGCTGGCCCAGGGGAGATGCGGCGCAGACGCTCCCAAAAGGCTGCCTGAAGACAGCTCACAGGGACCTGCTTTGGACCTTACCCTAGAGGCAAAGAAGCAGAAGAAAAACATGACCACACCAACAATAGAACAGGGGCTCACAGGGGGCCGGCAGAGCAAGGACAGACTAAGGACAGCGAGAGCCCAGCCTAACAGCCGACCCTGAAGACCAGGCGCCTTCTCCAGGACGCTGCAGCTACATAAACCAGCCCAGGGCCACAGATGCACCAAATATTTACAAAGTTGGTTTTCCAATTTAATAAAATAAATGGCATTCACTGTTTTCATCCATCATTACAAGTACCAAATACTTGCTGTTTCTTAAGTTTATAATATTCTTTTATATTGAATAAAAGAACTGCACCGAGGAGACACCATTCTACTAGAAGTACTGAAATAAAAGAAGGTCCTTCTCAAATTTGCAAACTATGGGAAACAGCTGTAGCTTGGTGACAGAAGTGGGCCTTCACCTTGCTCACTATGTACAGTATTATGCTCAAACTTGGATTTCAGAAAAGAGAAAAAGCTTTCCTCAATATACCCCAGGGGTCCATTGCGATGGCACAGGTAAGCCATCAGTCACAGCTACAGGGCATGCACACCAACGTCAAGACTGGAGCCATCCCTCCGAACACAGACTCGGCGAGAACAGAGTTACGGCGCGAGCACACAAAGCTGCGAAGGCTACGGCGGGCTGTGACAGAGCCCGCCAATCACCCCATTTTAAATAACTGTGTAAAGGGCTTCCGACCTATATTCTTGGCCCCATATGTTTGACTAAAAAAAAAACCAGACAACAATTTCTGACAAGCAGTAATAAATCAATGTGGTCACATTTACAACCAAATCCTTTCATGGACGGTGGGATGTGTAATAAGACCCTAATTAATACATTCCCTCACAGAAGGCCTCGGCCAGGCCCCGGCCAGTGGGCACTGAGTCCGGAAGGGTTACTGAAGACTGCAAGAACAAGGAGAAACCCTCAGAAAAGGTGTAAGAGGATGCAAGGGGTGTCTCTCCTCCAGCCTCCCTTCCACTGTCTGCAGCCTGCCTTTCTTTCCTGACCATGATCCCTAGGGACCAGGGGTCTCACAAATGTAGGACTGGAGAAGAAATGAACGTTTGTTCTATCTGGAATTACCTGAAATTTGCCTCTACGCACTGCCTGCCTTTGTATAGACTTAACTGTGAGTCGCTGTCAATCTGAGGAGAAAAGGCAAGGATAACACAGGGGACAGGAAATCTAGTCAAGATTCCAAAGCTTACGGAGTAGGGGTAAATCAGGTGTTGAAGCATTATACCAAACTTCTAGCTTCTATTATTTTAAAATAATGCCCACTGCTTTACAAAAATCAATTATAAAAATTTTTTTTTTTCCTTCTCAGTAGGATACTAATTCTATTTGGGTTGGACAATTTACAGAATAGATTACTCTCAGACCACTTCTTTCATACTGACACAGGACCTTAAATTCACGCTATATTTTCCTAACTATTGATATAAATTGATTTTCACAGTGAGGACCAGGGGAGCCCAACCCCTTTGCAAAGGGGGCCACAGGACCTCGCCTTTCAGACACTGGCGTGCCATGTGGCAGTGCCCTTACTGGGTGCTGTGCACTGCATGTCCAACAAAGGCTTCTTGCAAACTTGTGAGCTAACTTCTTAGTGAAAAAGTCTCAAAGAGGTTAAAAGTTTAAATCATAAAACTAATCAGCTTTACTGAAAAGAATGGAATAGCCAATGAATATAATATAAAAAATGAATATAAGAAAGCAACTAGATTTATGCCGGGTACACAAAACCAGTATTATCCCACAAAATCCAACAATGTGGTCACAGTAGGAACACTGGAAAAGCACTAACCTAAGGAATCTTCTGTCCACTATTAAAGTGAAATATGAACACAGCAGAACAGACATCCTTTGTTTCACTTTCCTAGATAAAAATGCCTGTCCTAACTTCCTTATAAAATTGTTATTATTATTTTTTTTAGTGTATTTAGTACAGGGTTCACAGGTCTCACTACACAGGTCAGACTTGGAGTAATCCTCCTGTTTTCAGCCTCTCAAGTTCTAGGATTACAGGCGCATGCCACCACGCCCAGTCTCAGTGGCTGTCTCAACACACCCCTGGGGTGGGGCCAGCACAGCAGGCCCGGGATGGAACCTGGTCCCTGCATCTGCCTAAGCAGGTGCTTTAGTCCGCTGAGCTATCTGGCCGGCTCTAAAATTGTTACTTCTACTAAGGATTCTTCCAGGCCTAACAGTTACTTCCTGGAGGGCGGGAAGAGGACCCTGACCAGTAAGGGATACATAGGAAGGCTTTTGCAAAAGGCACCTTTCAACAATGTTAGAAATTACCAGTCACATCAAGTAATATATTGGACTTAAATTAATTCAACTTTAGAAAACTGTTAACCTCAGACCAGCAATCTTTCTGTTCTAATATTTCAAAAAAAAAAAAAAAAAACTCCTAACCTTGCTGGATTTTATGGTAAACACTACAACACACCCCAAAGTGGGATAATTTTGCCTACTCTAGATTTTACCTTATGTGCTAAAGCTAAATCCAGCCCCTCCCATGACACAAGGCTGCTAGACTAAGAAGCCAACCCCAGAAAGAACAGTAATAAAATACAAAAACATCTGATTACTACATGATGTAAAACTGCTTCGATGATTTTTTTTTTTTTTTTTTCAGTATCAGGGATTAAACTCAGAACCTTGACTTGCCAGGCAGGTACTTATTCTACTGAGCTATCTCCCTGTCCTCAAATTTCTTTATGTGAGAAAAATATGTAGAAAATCCTTAATGAAACATTTTATTCCAGATGTTATGGTTTGTAATTGTCTGCCCCAAGCCCCCTGCAGTTATGAGGGTGCGGTTCCAGAGTCTGTGATTAATTCCTGATCCAAGGCTGGGATTAGGCTGTGAGTGCTACACCCAGCCTGGGGCAGAGAGCGGAAGGCACCAGAAGGAGGAGGGCCTTGCCTGTCCTGCTGCCACCGCTCCTCCTTTTGCCTTAGCTCTCTGCTGTCTTTCTTCCACCGCCATGAACTGCTGTCCTCTGCCATGTGCCGTTCTTACTTGGAGCCAGCCAAATATGGACTGAAACCTCCACTAACTGTGAGCTAACTAAACCTTTCCTTCCTTAATTCTGGGTCTCAGGTATTTGTCCCAACAACAAGAGAAAAGAAACTAAGACACCAGAACCCTAAACCACCAAATTTTCCCTGATTTTATTATGTCTGTAATCCTAGGAAGCATTTCTTTTTCACTTTTTAAATTAATGCATATTAGTTTTAAAAGAACACTGGGTTTTGTTTTGGTGTATTCATATATGCAAAAGGAACATTTCTAAAAGATTGTCAAATAGCCCCGTCAAGCTTTAACATTTTCTGAAAACCACTAATTCAACTGTTTCCAGCCCTAATTACAGTAATCAGCCGGACGTGGTGACGCACACCTGCAAGCCCAGCACTCAGCAGGCTGAGGCAGGAGGACTGTAGTGGGTTCGGGCCACCCTGAGCCACACAGTGAGCTCAGGAGCAGCCTAAACTACACAGTGAGGCCCTATCTCAAAAGACAAACAAAATCTCTAATATTTAGATGTCAAAGACTGCCGTGGGGCCCCACCCCTGAGGCACGATGAGACAGCGATTGAGACTGGGCATGGTGGCGCACACACCTGTAACCCCAGCACTTGGGAGGCTGAAAAAATAGGAAGGCTCACTACCAGTCCGATCTGTGTAGTGAGGCCCTGTAGATTCTCTACTAAACACATAAATAAATAAATAAATAAATAAATGTCAAAGAAAAATAAAATTCTCTACTTACAGTTGATTGAGGATGAGGTGGATGATCAATGAGTTTTATCACATTTTGTCTTTGTGTGGACTCAAGAAAAACTTCATCCCAATGTCCCTTCTCAATTAATTCCTTTTTAATTTTGGAAAGTTCAGTTATTGCTTGCTTATTTCCAGGTTCCAGAAGTAAAACAGTTTCAAAATCTAAAGTGAATTTAAACAAATAAAGTAGTAAAAAACAGACATGTTTCATTTAGCTAGTTATCCTACTTTTAAAGCAAAACTTTTCACTCAGGAGCACAAGTTGGCAAACCTGACTACGACTAGGAAACAGATGAGTGACAATAAAAGCTAACATTTATTAGGTGCTATTATAGTTGGGTGGTTTTGGTTTGGGTGATAACAAGAACTCCACAAGTACTAAGCTCCACCTCCACCCCTTTGTACTTTTTATTTGGATACAGGCTGTAAGTTTCCAAGGCTTTCCTCAAACTTGCAATCTTTGTGCCTCAGCTTCCTGAATAGCTAGAATTCTAAGAGTGTGTCACTGTGCCCAGCCCTCTAGTGATTGTGTATGAATTTTCTTTTTTGTTTGTTTGGGGTTTTTTTGTTTGTCTTTTGAGACAGGGTCACCCTACTAGTTCAGACTGGCCTCGAGCTCACTATGTAGCCCACGCTGGTCTTGAACTCACAGCAATTCTGCCTCAGCAGAGTGCTGGGATTCAGGTATACCCCAACATGCCTGACTATATCAATTTTCATGTAAATTTCACTACAACTTCATTTTGCAAATGACAAAGTAAAGTCTTCAGCTCATTTAACTTACAAAATCTCACATTATTAAGAGAAAAAAACACAGTAACTCACCGAATGTAAGATAGAATATAAAAGAATCTATATACTGGGATATTCTATAGCCTTAAAAAGGAATAAAGACTAGTACATGCTACAAAAAAGACAAGCTCTGAAGAGGTGCTTGGTTAAACAAGCCTGACCCAAAAGGATAACTACTACTACAACTGTACTTATATGGGGTATTTAAAACAGACAAAGTCAGGCAGAAAGTACAATGGTAATTAGTAGGAAGTGGAGGAAAAGGAAAATAGAGAATTATTTTATGGGCACAGAGTCTTAAAATGGGACACTGACGGAGTTGTAGAGATAGACAGGCAGTGATGACGGTTACACGGCACGGCAAGGACACCTGATAGCAAGATACACACCTGGAATAACTAAAGTGGTAGACGTAGTGTCACACACATTTTACCACAGCTAAAGGAGGTCAAGAGCCACAACTACAGCCAGGCTTGGAGAGAAACCACCAGATTTAAACACACACATCAGGAAAAAGAAAACCAATCATGTAGTCACTGATCACGTGAAATTAGAAAAACAGTAACTTAAATCCAGAGACGGAAGCACAGAATACAGAGCAGGAACAAATGAAAAGCAAAAGACACAGAGGAACCAAGCAGGTCCTTGAAAAGACTTCTTGTATCTGAAAGACCAGGTCACAGAAAAACAGGAGAAAAAAGTAACACCAAGGACCAAGGGCATGGCTGCGCTGGCCGCCCTCCTCACACCGCCTCCTCCCGCGCTCCTCCTCACTTCCAGTTTGAACCCTCACTCAGGTGGCTGCAGTCAGAGCGACCACAGAGAAGGGCGGGCAGTGCTGCGCACCCCCGCGGTCGAGCCCCTCCGGAGGCGCGCTGCCGAAGGCCAGCCCCTGCGCCATGGGTGATGTGCGGAAGCGGCTCCTGACCCTCGGGGTCTCCCCGACAGCGGCTGTTTTACCTTGTCTGGCCTCATTTATCTTTCCCAAAAACGTTCTTGCAGTTCCTCTTCTGGCAAAAGCTTTTGAATATGAGCCATCTAATGAAATAGCTTGTGTGCAGTCTCTTTCAGCTTCTTTGTACCTATTGAACATGAGAAAATTACCAACAGGGAAAATGCATCTTACAGGAAAACTTCAATGGAAGAGGCGTTTCTAATTTTCAAAGCATGTAAACAGTTTCATTTACTAACTCTCAAATCTGTGTTTAAAGGAAAAGACTTTTTAAAAATTTTTCATTCTCCCTAAATCTTAGAACCATCTGGTTAGGGAGCAGGCGGTCCCAGATTAAGAGGAAGTCAGCTGAGTCTGAAGGGGGATGCAGTTCACGATGCTGACACGTGAGAAGGCACGAGATCGCATGCAAGACACCACATCCTCTCCCGCCTCAGCCGCACGGTGCTGCACGGTGCTACAGAACCGCCGTTCCCTCTGTTACAGTTTCACTGACATGCACAGCACATCTCACTTCCGGAAAAGCAGCCCACACCAAACTGAGGGTCTGTGATGTACGCGACAGCACATCACCAAGGGGCAGCAGCAGCACTACTGCACCGTGCAGCGGGCACTCACAGCCTGGGTACTGCTGACCACAAAGAGCTAAGAAGAGCTTCTCTCTCTCTCTCTCTCTCAAGCACTCTTTGGACCCTCACTTAAAGTGACATTAATGAACTACTGCTAATATATTAGGAATGAAAACGATATTGTTGTTATTCATGAAATACAACGCTCTCTGAAGATGAAATGGCACAATGTCTAATAGCTAAAACAAATATGACCAACAGTCTGACGTGTTAAAACTAGATGGGTACACAACCTTGGTGCTACTTTTACCAGAGTCTGAAATTCAGTGAGAGTATTTTTTGACAGCTGGCCTGGTGGCACACACCTACACTTCTGACAGCTGGGAGGCTGAGGCCGGAGGATCACTGTGACTTTGAGGCTGGCTGGGCTGGTGAGTGAGCTCAAGGTCAGTGTGACCTACAGAGCAGGACCTCGTCTCAAAAAAACAACAATCAGTTTTGCCCGACCTTATACAAACAGTATCAGAATTCCTAATGAACTAAGCATCTCTCCCACCTTGCTGAAGTGTGCACCCCGAAAGGCACCCCACGTGCGGAGCGCTTACCTCTGAACCTTGAGGTAGGCCATGGCTCTGTTCGCCGGCAGAAGCGCGTTGGCGCCATCTGCTGCCATCCCTCTTGTATAGCACTCAATTGCGCTCTCGTATTTTCCCTCTTTGAAAAATCCATTCCCCTATGATTTCAAAGAAATGCAGAAAACAATCAAGACATATGCAGAAAAATCCTGAGTTCAAATCTTAAGAAACTCCCCAAAGATACTGCTAAATATTATGTCACTAATTCGTTATATTTTAATTGTTACAAATCTAACACGAGGCATGTTTTAGAATCTGCTAATGTGGGTTTTTATGGTATTATTCTTTCCAGCACCAAAAAGAAAAATACTGTGTACCACCATATTACTTTGCAGAATTCATCAAATTCTAATCCAATATTATACAAACTTTAAATTTATTTATTAATGTATTTAGTGCAGGATCTACAGGGTCTCACTACACGGATTGGACTCCCAGTGATGCTTCCTGTTTTTCACCCTCCCAAGTGCTGGGATTGCTGGCATACGCTACCATACCCAGTCTCATTCGCCATCTCAGCGTGCCCCAGGGGCAGGGCCAGCATGGCAGGCTGGGGATCGAACCTGGCCCCTGCGTCTAGCCTAAGCAGGTGCTTTAATAAATTCGCCAAACCTTAAATTTAAAAACCCATTTTAGCCAGGTGTAGCAGTGCACACCTCTGACCCCAGCACTCAGAGACCTGAGGCAGGAGGATCACAGTTGGAGCCCACCCCAGATAACTCAGTAAGGTCATGACTCAACATTTTTTTAACTTTTGTATTTTAAAAAGGATTGGTGGGCTGGGGAGATAGCTGAGCAGACTAAGCACCTGCCTGACAAGCACAAGGACCCGGCTTCAATCCCTGAAACCACATGCCCTGCTAGCCCTGCCCCCAGGCATGCTGAGCTGGACACCTAAAACGGGCATGGTGGCACAAGCCCGTAATCCCAGCGCTGGGGAGGCTAAACTTAGGAGGATCACTATGAGTCCAACCTGTGCATATAAATAAGTAAGTACCATATAAATAAGTAAGTAAAAGATTAAAAAATGATAATAAATGTCAAAAAGGATTGGTGATGTAGCTTAGTTCAAAGTCTCTTGGTTGAATACCCAATTTAAATTAAAAAATCTATTCACATTTTAATAAAGGCCCAAATATTATACTGTCTTATGTATAATATAAACTACATGAAATTATATGAAAGAATTTCATATCTCAAATATTTTTTGTAAAAGAACACAGTACCAGAATAGCGCCTCTTTAATAACCTTAACATACCTAAATATAGAATAAATTAACGTGTACTAGGATGTAACATTAATTTATAATCATTCAGATAATAACACTCACTCCATTAAGTATTTACTGGGAATCCTCTAGATGTTCATGAAATGCTAGAAAAACATTATATCTAGCCAGGTGTGTTGGAGCAAGCCCAAAATCCCAGCACTCAGGCAGCTGAGGCAGGAGGATCACAAGTTCAAGGGCAGCCTGGGCTACACAGTGAGCTCAAGGCCAGCCTGAAGTACAAAAGTAAGACCCTTGTCTCAAAAAATATATAAATTTCCTCAACTCAAGATTTGTAAAAAAATTTTAATCAGAAAGAGTCCTGTGTGAATTGATGAGATAAATCTAAGAATGACTGTAGTTTATATTTTTTAATTTATAATTTTCTACATACAAATACATAAAACACTCAAAAATAGTCCATTTCCTAAACCTAAATGTTTCTAATTTTTAATTTATGTACATCATCAATTACTCAAATTTTAAATCAGTGGGCTCCAAAGGTTTTAGTAAATTTCAGTTCCACCTTAAGAAAAATTTTAGTATTAGTAGAGACAGCCACTAATACGGGTGCCAGTGCCGTTCCCTCTGTTACAGTTTCACGAACATGCACAGCATATCTCACTTCAGGAAAAGCAGCCCACACCAAACTGAGGGTCTGTGATGTACGCGACAGCACATCACCAAGGGGCAGCAGCAGCACTACTGCACCAGAAATCAGAAGTAAGCACTCAGCCCAATACACGTGTCCTGTTTTGAAAGCCCTCTGGAGTACCCGATCTTTCTCTGAAAGAGCCTGCTGCTTGCTCTGCTGCGCCACCGGGTGCTGCTTCTCACTTTCAGCTGATGCAACTACCGTAGCAGCTTCCTTTGGGCAGGAGTTTTCTTTAGATGTTAAAGCCTAGGAAACATAGCAACCAACTAAAATGAAACAAGTAATGTGAGATGAATACCTAGTTGGTTTCAAAATGTAAATTACTCAAATATGTTAAAATTCCTGCTACATTCAAATAATTAAAATATTTCCTACCTTAATTCAGGGTTCCTACTAAAAAGCAACATTCAGGCATGGGGTGCACCCCTGTAATCTCAGCCCCTCGGGAAATGAAGACAGAATGACCCCACGGCAAAGAGCTGCCTGAGCGCCCAACACAATCCCACTTCCAAATAAAACGTAAACATGGCTGCAGATGTACTGCAACAGCACAGCGCCTGCCTAGCACGCACAGGTCCTCAACTCAGTCACCAGCAGCACTGGGAAAAGTGCTGATATATGGGAATACATATATTACTATATACATATATCTATATCTATATCTATATATATAGAACATTTTAATGTGATTGTGAGTCCAGTTAAAATAAATAATATCTGGGCCA